ACTGTTGGTGCTGAGAGGAATGGGTTTGGTCCCAATGTGCCAAAAGAGACCCAAATGAACAACGGTCTAAGTAACGGGTCATTAAATGCTCATAAGTCTTTGGCTACTGTTGGTACTGAGAGAAATGGGTTCAGTTCTGATGCACCAAAAGAGGCCCAAATCAACACCAGTTTTAGTAACGGATCATTAAACGGTCACAAATCTTCAGCTACAGTTGGTACCATGAGAAATGGGTTCAGTGTTGCTGCACCAGAACAGATCCAAAAGAAAGAAGGTTCAGTTCCAAAAAGTATCTCAGAATCCCATTCAGAAAGCTCCCAGAAGTGCAAAAATGGAGATTTTAGCATCCCAATTTCTACAATGGTCAGTTGTAGCAAGCCACTTGCGACTCTTGGAGATAATACGAGTAAAATGGAGAAAGGCGACCCTGCCAAGGTAAAATTTTGTCATAATTGATATGTGCTACTTGAAACTATGGTTTTTCCACCTTTAATTGGAATTCTTTTATTCAGGAAATTGGTGGGAATGAATCATTTGGTGCAAATGGTCGGGGTGATGGTCAAGAGGGGGTGGTTATTGCATCGGCAGAGATATCAGACTTACCCAAAATGGGAAGTTCGATGGAGAAGGAAGCTCTTGGCTGGAAAAAACACAAAAAATCGAAGAACGTTCTGAAGTGTAAGGTACTAAGTATGAAATTCAGCTCAAACGTCTTTATGGTGACATCATTAAACCAGCGGAAGAAAAAGAAACATAAGCGAAGCAAAAAGGTCAAGAATCTTGCTCAAGAGAACTTGATTGATGAAGGCCCGTCATCATCCCAAAAAATTGAAGTACAGGCGGCTGTCAAACCTTCCGTTGAAAATGAATTAAAAGAGAGGGTTGATAAAGACACTGCTGTGCTTGCAACAAGCAACATTAATGGCATCTCAGCAGGAAGTCGAGCAGGACCAAATCATTTGGATGATTGCAAGGGAGCTTCAGCACAAAAAGATTTGGTTCATATGCTTACCAGAGGTTTGGAAGACAGAACCGGTGAGTAATATTCTTCCTTCCTCTTTCATTATTTGTTATAGTTTCTGTCACACAATTTCTCCTTATAGCTCAAGGAAAATGCTTTGCCTATTTGTCAAATGTCTGAAGTACCCTTCAGGGAAAGACAAATGATGAAGTCTTCAGGATCTAGAATTTTTGGACAACCCAAAACAAAGTGTTGCATTTTTCCCCTTCAGGGAAAGAC